TATATATAAAGTCAGTGCTAATGGCACATTAAAAAAACTGTCTGCTTTGGTGTAGAGTATTTTTATATGCTGAACCTATGATTTTCTTTTTTTTTTTTTTTAAACAGATAAGATGCAGTTTGTAACAACTGATGAAGTCCAAATGAGAGATACTTTTCATGCGATCCATAATTCATATAACTTCTAAGAAGTGAAAAAAGAGAAGATAAGCCATAGTGAATGAAATGTTTTCATCTTGCCAAAACTGACTCTGATTGGTATTAATTTGTTTAGAATATTTTTGAACTGAATAAACATATGCTTAAAAGTATTTATGTAAAGAAAGAAAAAAAATTGGTTCTTCAGTCATTGCTAGCCTTGAAAGTGAGCTTTGAAAAAAAGTGATCAGAAATTAAAGTGGAATACCTACAACAAGGCTCAGATTTTTTGTTATTGAATTTTATATCAAGTAAGTAAAGCTCAAGGTATTGCTTTTATATTCAACAGTTCACTGAGTGCCCTATTATTGTACCAGACATAGCTATTTGTTGTCAATAACCATAGTGTAATACATTCCTTTTCTCCAAAAATAACAAGACATCAAAGGATCTCTTTTCTTGTAACTCCACTGATATGCCATTGTTTATATAATTTATGCTAATTATTTTACTTATATTTTTCTTACATTTAAATTAAACATTTGAGAATATATTTCACTTGATAGAAATAAATTTGTTGAACCCCAAATATCTTGTAAGTCCATTTTAGTTTTTAAAAACTAACTTGCTTTGAATTTTTAACCTTTTAAAAATAGGTTTGATGCTTTCCTTTTTGATATGTCAATGAGACATGAACTGATGAAAGAAATATTTTTAAAAATTTGAATTTATAAGTTTTATTATTTATTTTTTATTAAATTTTCTAAATTTTTAATTTGGAAATTTGGTCAAAAAGTTAAAGTGAAACCAAGATGCTTATCATCAATGAGAAAAAAAAAAAAACATTTGCATGACAAAAGTTTTTTTTTTTTTTTTTTCTAATCTATAAAAAATCAGTTATTTAATTATGATAAAAGCTTAAGTACATATTCATTTATGAAAAAGGTTAAGTGTGTGGGAATCATTTTTTTTAAGTTTATCAGTCACTTCCCACTTTCAAATTTCAATAAAATATTTTTTTGGAATATTTACATTTTTACAAGGATAAATTCCTAGAGAAATTAAATCTATTAAAATTTGTAACTTCACCCAGTGATATAGAAAATGTATTCTTAATATGAAAATATATTTTTTTTTAAATGTTTTAAAATTCTTTATTATTTTCCTTGGGCAATATTTAAATGTTATTAAATATATAATTATATCAACAGAAACATTACTTTCATTCAGTGAAGAGAATGAAACATGTTACATAGAATTTTTCCCACTGTCATTCATTTGTTTAACATTGTTCTGATATATAGAAATTTATATAACATATTCTCCAATAGATTAAGAAAATATTTCATTTGACTTTTTTAGCATGCTATAATTATTCATACTTTAATTGTATCATGAGATGATCCTAAATTTAAGCAGATTTTCATCAATCATAGCATAATATAATTTTCAATGATATAACAAAACCTCTTCTAAAACCAGCTTTAAATACACAAAATTAATACATTTAAAACTTTGTAAAAGAAAAAAGAAAAAAAAAATGATGGTTTAAATGTAGTTGTCTTAAAAATCCGACATAATAAATTACTGTAATTTACAAAAGTGATTTTTAAACGAATGAAAATAATATTAAACCTACCATACACTTCACAATAAACCACAGAAGTTTCAAAGGTATCAATATCAATTTAATAGATTTCATTTTTAGGTTAAAGGGAGATAACTATTTCTCATTGACTTTTATAACAATCATTAATGTTTGATAAATACAAATGGTTTTAGTTTTGTTTGCCGATATCAAATGATGTTACATTTTAGAAGACTGTCAATTAAAACATCATTGATCACAGAGAAAACATTTCAAAGTTTAAAATTTAAGTCCCATATACCTTATTGAACTAATGTAGGAATTAGAATAGTCAAACCAAATAATATCTTTTCATCTGTCATTTGATATCCAACTAAATTGTGTGTTAGCACTTTTTTGATAGGGAGGTAGTTGCTCTATGATGTGTCCCTATAAAAAAACCTGACTGCTCATATTTCAACCATTCAGCACTTTTTTTTTTTTTTTTTATAAATTAAATCCAAGAGTAATAAATCAGGCAGTTTATATTTCTCTACTTAAACTTGTGTGTTCAGTAAATCTTTTTATCCCATAACCTGCCATCTAGGGTGGATGGGGTGCTGCATGGTGGCTTACTCAGCAAGAAACCTCCATTTGATCCAGTTATTGCCCAGCATAATATTTGCCAGTCCATTCAACGACATTGTCTGACCATCTCTTTCTTTGGCATCTTCCTCTCCTTGGAGATGCCTCCTTGCAATCTGGTTATGTGGGCCATACCCAACTTTAGCTTCCTCTTCTTTATGGGGTTAACTTGTCTTTATAGCCATTTATCTCACTCTTCTGTGTATCTCTTCCTTCATGATGCGGTTGATGTAGGAAATACCAAGCAGACATCTGAAGTATCTGGGATCTGCTTTTGGAGTTCAGCTGTTAGAGTCCAAGACTTGCAAGCATACAGGGATACCAACAAGATGAAGGCATGCAACAATTTTTTTTATTTTTAACAATGAGCTTTTTCTCTTTCCATGTAAGTTTCAATTGTATCCTTCACAATGTCTTCTGGCTTGGATCCATTGTGGGGGATGATTATACCAGGGTATTGGTATTGTTTCACTGTCTCCAATTATTGACCACTGACTATAATTGATGTTCCTCTGGGTTCCTCATTATTTCTCATCAGCTTTGATTTATTGTCATTGATTTTCATGCCATATCTGTGGATGCAGTTTGGTCCAGATGCTTCACTACATTAGACAGTTTATCTTCACTTCCAGCCAGGCTGTTGATGTCACCAGCCAGGCTGAGGGTAATAATCATTTCCCCTTTAATACTGACTGTGTAGATATTGTTTTCAAGGGCATCTGACATTATTCTTTCCAGGAAGATATTAAAACGTGTAGGCATCACTAGACATCCTTCTGCATGCTGATGGATGTGCAGATATAGTCTCTCACTCTTCCCTGGCAAAAAATGCACTGGTGGGCTGTTGCTATAGCTGTTGGATTGTTTGAATCAGCTTATGGTCAATGGAATATTTCTTCATAGTAGTTCACAGTGCCTCATGCAGTTGAATGCCTTTTTGAAGTCTATGAATATGTGGATGATGTCTTGCTGGTGTTGACTATTTTTCACATACTACATGGTGGTTGAAAATTTGCTCCATTGTGTTTCTTTTGTGTCTGAAGCCAGTGAATTCTTCAGCAGTTATTTCTTCCACTTGCAGTCTTAGTCTATTTAGGATTACTTTTAGTATAACTTTGCTCACATGACTGATGAGGTTTATTGTTTTATAATTTTGGCATAGTGATGATAAGGGATTGTATCCATGATGTTGGCCATTCATTGTCTTTCCAGATCTTATTGCAAATGATTGCAAGAATGTTGATCACTGACTCTCTTAAATTCTTGACCATTTCTGAAGAAAGAGTAAATTTATTCAATAAAATCGCCATTGGCTTCAACCACAGCCTCCAGGCAACTTTGGAATCTCCTGCATTTATTCTGGGCAGTCTCCTTGTTTAAGTTGGTGAATTCATCTTTGGTGTTTCAAGGAGTTTTGTTGGTCTCTCGCTTAACTGTCTCCCATACATAATAATAAAAGGCGGTTGCAGTCTGGGGAGTTAGGTGGTCAGATGTAAGGGGTGATGTGGTCACAGAAATTGTCTGAGAGCCATGACTGGGTTCTGTTTGTGTGGCATGGTGCAGAGTCCTTTTGCCAGAAATAGGGTCTTCCAGTAGCTACCCTCTTGACTTAAGGCAGCACTACCTCCTCAAGGCACTTGATGTAGGCCTCCGTGTTGAGTCCGAGGCCCTGTGGGAAGATGAATGGAGGCATAATGTCGCCATCACTAGTGATCATTCCAAACACCATGATGTTCGACTGGATATTTGGTTTTCATCATTCTTGATACATCTTTTGGGGGACATAGCAAGTTAATGGTTGTTCTGTGTGTTCACCATCTTATCCTGGCAGAAATTTTTGTCATCTGAGAAAAACCAAGCATGTTCAGTTGGAGGGGGTGCTTAAGTTTGTTCAGAAGTTTTGTAGTGAAGTCTTTCCTGTTGTTCTTCATGGCTTGGTATAAAAATTGGCCCTTTCTCATCTTGTATGAGTAAAGCTGAATGTCTTTATGCACTATCTGTCAGATAAGAAACTCAGACACTCCTGTGTCCCTGGCTGTGGACCTGATTGACTTGGAGGGATCATTTTCAATCATGGCCTGGATCTCACCAATAAATTCAAAAGTTCTTATTGGAATGAACAGAGTGAGTTTATCTTCATAATCACCATTAGATTCATCCAACTCTTTCTGAATCCTCAACACTCTGAAATGTTTGTACTGGAGCTTCTGGCATGAATGCCAAGCAGTACAGCATGCCATTTCCAGATTTCTGGCAGAGTGAATTGTGTCATGGTGTTCTTTTTCTTGCAGATGGTGCCCAACTGACCCTACTATACATGCAGTCGACAAAATCAAAAACAGACAACAAGCATAAAATGGCGACAATTTACCCATCGCATCCTGAATATGCATGCAAATCAATAAGTTTATAGTCTAATGAAAAAAATCACAACATTCAACTAATAAAAAGTGAAGCTATAAACTCATTAATTTGCATGTGTGTAGATTTTATTAAGAAATGCAGCTATTTTTTTTTTTAAATTGTTTTAATAAAACTTTCAAATATTTAATTTTTACAATTTTCAATTATGAACCCATTTGACTCTCTTTTCATTCAGTATCTAACGGAACTTCGTGTATATACGAGAGATTAAATAATAAATGACTTACTTCTTAAAAGATAAAACAATCCCAGCCAATCAGCAACAACATTCATAGCCTTTTCTTTGCTCTTTTTCCCTCTTGACGTTGTGTTGATACAGTGTAAGGTCCACTCAGAATTCGGTTCAGTGGAGACAGAATTAGAGTCTGACCCAGAGTTACCTCCCCTGACCTCTCTAATGGTTCCACCTAAAAACAATAAATTATTTTAAGTGTTTTAGTCTTTACATAATTTTATTTTTCATAAATGTAAAAATTAATAAAAAATGTTTTAAATTGGACAAAACCATGTAACAAGTAATGAAGACATGAGAAAATAAATATTCAAATTTTAATTAGGATTTATCTAATTTATGTCATTTTATCACAATTTCATATTTACTTGTGTTTTATCAATATTTCTTAAAAAAAATGGTTTTGTAGCAGATTTGGGAAATTTTATGTTTTGACACTTTATATAATTAACATCTGGAAAGAAAATAAATGCAAAAAATGGGAAAATGTAAGAATTAAGTGGAAAACTTGAAATTTTTAAAATTAAAATATCAAGAAAAAAATGTAAATTTACATTTTCTTTCAAGAAAAATGCAATTCAAAATTTAAATTTTAAAAACAATGTAGTTTGATTCTATTTTAAGTAAATACAAATAATAGTTGCATAAAATGTTTTTATATAGATTATTATAATACATTGTTATTGAAGACAAAAAAATTCATGAAAGTGATATTTTCATATTTTTAATTTCACAGACATTTTTATGTCAGTCTTCCAAAATAGGCTTATAAGTTCCAAGCCTCAAAACAAAACTGTTTTCACTTATATTTTTTTTAATAATAAAGTGTGTGCCAGTCCAGAAGCTTCAGGGATATTATTCCTTAAACTTCATATCTCACTCACTCACTCACTCACAAATGACTTCCTTATATCACTGGTACACACTCACCAAATGAAACCATATGGTAAGCCTACTTTAGAGGACATAATGACAAATAAAAGGAAATAATTGCTGCAGTTTTACAACTATGAAATAAACTTTGATATTGTAATAATTTTTTTCTAGATTTTGTAATGAATTAAATCCTAATAAATAGTGAAATATCAACTCGGAAAGATAATTTTCTGAATTAGTTTTTGATAAATTGGAGAGGATTGGAAAGAAAACCACTCAAACATATTAATTAGGAAATTTCTTGCAATATTATTTTAATATGTAGAATGTTTAGAATGTTTTTGAATGTGTAATTTAGAAAGTGAAAACTTAAAATAGAAATAATGAAAATATTTTATTTATATATAAACTAAATAGCAAATATTTTCATTTTTAAAGTATTTGCTAACTTTAATTTTTTATTGGACATTATTTGATTGTAATGTTCAAAAATGAATATGTTGGGGGTTTTATTTTTTCTTTGATTCACTCTCTGTAAAGAACTGGAGCAATTTACTTTTATGACAGATTATTGATGAGGTGATGCTGTACAAATGAAACTCATTTTTTTCAGTAATTCAACTTTATCTGCTATGGATAATGAAAGCTGTTTGCAATTTACATTATGAAAATTAATTCTATGGTCATTGGACTGTCTTTGCTTTCAAGTTCATGTCAACAGCTACTAGTGTCACCAAAGCAATTGTGGCAAACTCAATGGGATGACATGAGAAATTTGAAATTTTGCTGTTGTTTACATTAGTAGTGAAACTGAACTCCATAGACTTGGATTAATGATGGTTGTAATCATTTCTGTTAAAGAAGAATAAAATCTTTGAAATACTTTATGAAGATATTTCCTCCATTAAAGTCAGAAAACAAAGAAAGTCAATGTTTAAGAAAAACAAAATTATTCTCTTTGCAGGAAATAACTGCAAATTGTAGTTGGATTATTGTTTGATGTCATATAATTTAAAAAAAGACAAAAATCTACAAAAATAATTTTCAAATAAAATCATTAAAAAAAAAAGACTGATAAATTATGTATCATATAATTACATTTTATTCACTAATATAATATTATTAATATCAACTCTTGATATTTTTGCTCTCTGCAGCTATCATTGGTGATTTTTCAATTTTACATGACTTATTTTGAAAATGGTAGAATAAAGTGTAAATATCAGTTGATAATTTGTGTGAATGTTTACCAGTTGAAAAACCTTGGATCTTGATCAGTGATATAAACCGGAATATAGATTACTATGTTGAAATGGTATTGATCTTGGTTAGTTCGGTGAAATAGTCGATCGAGTAAAGTTTTACAACCATGAAAAATGGCAAGGTGTGAATAATAAACATAATATAATAATATCTACAATACCATCTTCATTTCAGAAAGTTTTTCTGTATCCTGATTGTGATGAATATATTCTTTGATGAAAATTTAATTTTGAAATGTATTTATTATCCTGCAATAACACAATTTTTCCAAGAAAATCCTTAATGGATCTTTGAATGGTAAAACAAATTATGAAAGAGCCAGTATATTTGGAAGAGTGTAGGTAGATAAGTTGTATCAGTTTATAGATATTTATATGAAAAAAACAAACAAAACCACTTTGAGCTCATCTCTTGAACAGAACTATCATGAGAGATCTTATATAAAATGTTTATTGGTGATAATAAACTCAAATCTGAATTCTCCAATAAAGTAACCCAGAGAATAAATCAAAGAAATGGTAGGATCAATGAATATGAAAAATGAATTTTTATTCTCTGTTAAAATACTGTTATGGATTTTGAAAAAAAAATTTTTTTTATATCATATAAGGAGTTGATAAAAAATAAATGAAAGTGAAATTTCATTATTATTATTATTATTTATTCTTATTATTGGCAGGGTGTGGGGTATATTGTGATCTCATAATCTGTGGTTTCTGTCTCTTAATCTGTATCTCCTTGGTTTAAGATAAGAGCCAACATTTTGAAATTCAGTTTTCATGTAAACTCTTCCAGCTTTCTGGATCTAGACAAAGTATTTATAGTGATGAGATTAACTGCTTGCATATCAGAAACATTTGGCATTCATTGACTGAACAGTATTACTATGTGGAAATTTATGAAATCCTTTTCTTAAAACAGTTTTTCAGTAAATTAGACTTATTAGTCTAATAAATGTTGCCCTTCTTTTTAATACTGAAGGGTATTTCCTTGCAATCCTTTTGTTTTTGATAATGTGGAAAATTAATTGCTTGATTACTTCATTACTTCTTGCATAACCCATTTTTACTGTTGCTGTTGAAAGTATCCAAGTGATGTGGTTTTTGTTATTTGGTAAAGCTTTTTGTGATTTTGTAACCAATGCATAAAGTCTGATAATGGATGATCATCTTCTTTAAGATTTGTAAGATTAATTTGTCTAAAGCCATTTTAATCATTGATCTGAGATAATGGTTGTATATAGATGATAGACATCTCTGAATGAGTTTTTAATGCCATCAGATCTGACAAGGCTATTTAAGAATATGACTCACATTTTCAATTTCAATAAAACTTAAATATCATTCAAAAGGTATTTGCAACAGAAGACAATCTAAAAAGGTAAATATACGCTACCTGGTCGAAGTTTTGGAATGTTTGCTAAAGGGTTCAACTGTGCAATATCAGCTCTAAACTCGGGTGTACTTGGTGTTGGACTGTATATAACAACAGGTACAGCAGTTTTTGATGAAGGGGTAGTGGCAGTTGAAGTGGTGGTGGTGGGGGTGTTCATTGTCGTTGTAGTAGTGGTTGATGTTGTTGTTGTTGCCGTTATGTCACTGGTCACTTTATTTTTCATCTGGAAGTGATGGATAATAGCTGGATCCTGCTGACCTCTGACATCAGGTTCCCATGACTGACCTGTGATTACAGGTTCTTTGATCTCTTGCTGTGATCTTCCTTTTGATTTCTTTGGGTGTGGATGTGGGGTGACCTTCTTCAATTTGTGGTCCTGTGCATTAGTCCTAAGAATTCGTTTTGGTACTAAAAAAAATAAAACCAAAGCAAAATTTCAAATACTAATAAGGATTTTCGCAAAAAATGATTTGAATGTCATCACATGTTTTGTATATACAAAGAAGTGCTTTTTAGTATGTCTAATTTGGAGTCTACAAATAATGTTTAGGCATTGAGATGTTTTAAAATATTTTGTTTATATATTTTTCATTCATGTTCATTATTTGTGATTGAATAAATAGATTTTTATCAAACAGATAAACTTATTTTCAAATTTAACCAAGAGTTTAACTATCAAGAAGATTTATTAGTAATTAAATTATCTACCTTTAATTATTATTATTTTATACTAATTATTATGCATTTATACATTATTAATATAATATTTCCCAGCTTAAGTCATTTAGAATCTTTTTCTTTTCATCACTTTTGCAAGTAGGTATTTCACACTGATAATAGAAATCCATTACTTCTTATATATATATATATATATATATATATATATATAGTGTCTGTAACATTTTTTACTCAAAATAATAACAATGATAGGCAATTTGCCCATCTCTTTGTAAGGGACACTTCCAATGACATAATAGAAATAGAATTTTCTGTTACTTTCAACTTTAACAAATAAAATACTACCATTACAAATCATTTAGTTATCTCTGCAATTATTTTTAGCTTTGTAGATAAAGGAATAATAATTTTGTAATTGAACTGTACTTATAAGATATCAGAAACTTCAATACTGCTAGAATTTTTTAACAGCACTAAATTAATTTGAATATTAAATCCACAATAATTGATCCAATTGTCTACATGTTATTTGGGGTGATTCAGGCATAGTCAAACACAAACTTGTTCAAATCTAGTGAAAAGCTTCCTTTTGTATTTTATTTATTTACTTTTTCTAAATATATTTTTTTTCTTAAATATTATTAAGAATTTCAGTTACATTTCCAACGCATTAATAAAATTGCAACACTTGAAATTATGATTGAGTCACTGTAAGTACAATTACAGTTTATATACAGTAGGTAAGCATCTATTTAGATAAAATATATGAATGAAAATATATATATAGCCTTCACGTGTTATACCAATTTAGCTACAGAATTTTAGTGTATGATGTCATTGTTTATGTTTGGATACGCTTCAAGCAAAAATGAATGTTTGAGGGAAATCATAGAAAGTTGTAGTTTAAAAACAGTAAAATCCACCTTGTTAATGAAGATGCTCCTCTGTAGCTAAATGGTATAACATGTCAGGCTATATAACGGTTCTATGTAGGATACAGGTTCGATTCAGAGGACAAATATTTTCTATGAAAATTTCTCGGATATTCAGGCTGGTAAATGTTGTTAATACTGTTTATTATAAGCAGAGCACTTACTTAAATATTTGTATCTATAAAAATAACATATAAACAGAAAATATCTTAAAATAATTGTCAGACTTTGTCCATTTTGTGTGATGTCATTTGTTTATGTTTGGATACACTTCGAGCAGAAATGAATGTTCGAGGGAAGTCATAGAAAATTGTAGTTTAAAAATACTAAAATTGATCTTGCTAACCAAGATGGTCTTCTGTGTGTGTGTATATATATATATATATATATATATATATATATATATATGGGAAATTTTATGACAAAGTGGAAAAAGTTTACTTTTAACATGTTTTGTTCTTCAGGACTTCATCAGACTAATTTTGTTATGTTGGTAGAACTACACATGTGCATGGCAGAGGGGTGCTGGGAATTTTAGAATTTTTTTTTTTTTTTCCCAGCTGAATTCATTTAGAATCTTTTTCTTTTCATCACTTTTGTAAGTAGGTGATATTAGAAGATCTGCCAGGAATGAGGAAATAATTCACTACAACAGAAATTTGGTAAGAACCCAGGAGCAAATTTACTGTAGATTAGCACTTTCTAGAAATTTATGTTGTAGTGAATTATTTTCTCCTTTCATCATAGTAGCATTTTTTATGTCAAAGTTGGGTACAACTAATGCATTTGATGTATTATTTTGTAAAATGTCCCATTTGTGTTCATATAATCTTTTATTTAGATTACTTGAGGTTTCTCCTCTGTATTTTTTATGATAATTATTACAGGTGATGGAGTAAACTCCTCCTTCAGGTCTTAGCTTGTTGTTTTGGCTAGTATTGACTAAATCTTTTATTGTTTTTAGATGTAGCAGTAACAACTTTTTAAGTTTTGTTTAGTTAGATTCTTGTCGATTGTAAATGTGATAGAATTAGTAGGCAGGGTATATATTTGATTCATTGGGTTTTTCAGGATGGGCTAGTTTTTTGTTTTGGAATGTTTTGTGGGCCAATTGTTTCAAATTGAATATAAAGTAATTAAGGTATTGGAGAAGTTTGAAAGTGTTTTCAATGTATTTCTCTTCTTTGTGTCAATAATCCAAGCTGCATATTCTTAGAGCTCTTAGGTAGAATCAAATGATTATGCTTGAGTTTATTTCATTGTTATGATGGGAATAGAAATTTATCAGGTTGTTTTTGTTGGTTGATTTCCAGTGGACACAGTTTTAAACTATTGTTAACATGGTGTAGCTTGATATCTAGGTAAGGTAAATCAGTATCACAAAGATATAAGTAGAGCATCATCACTATAATGGAAGTATGTTGATTGTTTGGCTAAAATGTTTTGGAAAGGACCAGATTCACATTCAATGATTGTTACAAACAAAAATTTTGATTACCAATGGGATCACCTCTCAGTGGAGTGATGGCATGTATATTCTTAGAATTTCCAGAAAATTAAAGAAAAATAGACAAAAATAAATATACTGATTAATATATATATATATATATATATATATATATATATATATATATATAATGGTACTTTGACTTATGAGTGTCCCAATTAATGAGTTTTTTGAGATATGAGCAATCTCTTGGCTTATTTTTTTTGTTTTGAGTTGAGAGCTAAAATTAGGGGTTATGAGTCAGTTTCAGTTACCCCACTGCTAGTTGGTGTAGAGAACACCACAGTGAATGCTGCAATATTCACCCAGCCTCCTGTGTCTCACTCATCCACTTTAAACAGGTTGCACTGGAAGCACAAGTGTTGAGCTCACATTTGTGTCTGCAGTTATTTTGCAAAACTTTGTTTTTCCAACAATGGGTCTGAAGAAATTGAGTGTGAAGGACAGTGCTGAGAAGAGGAAGAAGAAATGCATTGAATTAAAGAAAGAAATTATCAAAAAAACATGACCAAGTACTAGTTGACATGGTGAAGCAATATGAGCATTCTATGATCTGCACCATATTGAACCAGAAGGATTCAATAAAGGTTTGTGGCGGACATGAGACAGAACCTGGGACGAGCACAACTAGTCGCGACTTGCCTTGTCCCCGCCAAAAAAGGGCCCGTATTTGCTTAGCATGTAAAGCTACTGCAGTTGAAATGAGGGAGAGAAAAAAAAAGCACTTACCGCTCTGCCGTAATCCATCCTCGGCCAGATAACATAAAAGAATGAGGGGGGACTGGCATCGCATTTTTATCCAATAACGATGCAATGCATTATGGGACATGGACGCAATGCATTATGGGACATGGACGCAATGAATTATGGGATCACAGGAAGATGCAAGGGATTATGGGTACATGAACAACTATAAAAACAACTACTTTTTTCCAAGTCGGCGAGTTCTTGAGGGGCGTTCACGGTTGAATGGCTAGAACGGGCAGTTAGTGTGATTTGGAGACAGAACTCAGAAGGAACGACTCAAGTTTGAAATACCAGCTGAGTGAGCTTGAATTTACTCGCTGGTTACTGTTTTCTTCATTCGCCTCAAGCTATTTCGGCATATTGATTCTTCAAAATGGAAGGCAAGGTCTTTGACGTCCGTTTGATTCCAGAATTCAGCGGCGCCCCAGCGGATATGCCCATTGTTGAATGGATAGAAAATGTGGAATTGGTCTGCGAACTTTGTGCCATGGACAAGATCGGCGCATCTTGCTTTTACGACTTGAGGCGGTGCCCTTGCTGTATATAGACAACTCAGTGGAGAGCAGAGGGCAGGCGGAACAAATTAAATGGGCCCTTATGACTGCATCTGCGACTGACAGATTTAATGCGTTCGACCAATTTATGGGGATGGGCGTCTTCGCCCTGGGGAAACTGTGGATGAATTCCTGGCTGAAATGCATCGTTTGGCGCGGCTAGTAGGAGAACCGCTACCTGATCGGTGGATGGCATGTGCATTTGTGTCAGGACTGCCACATCATGTTAGGCAGCTTCTCAAAGCTTCTTCCAGGATGGACGACATGAATCTAGAACAGATTCTGACCCGAGCAAGGGCTATTATGACGGATGACGAAGGGTGCCAGGTATTGGCCGCCGCATCAAGTAGAGCTAACGCAGCTCAGAAGCTGAGGTTCCCCTGCCAAACCTGTTAGCAGAACGATTACCTGCTACAAGTGCTCTGGACCCAACCATATGGCGAAGGATTGTACACAAGGATGTCAGGAGAGGTCAAACAGAACGCAGAGGTCTGGTCGCGACAAGCGGTGTTTTCGATGCAGCGGCATTGGACACATTTCCTCAGAATGCCAGGGAAGCGCCCAAGGGGAGAAAGGCGTCAGCGCCAGCCTTCTCCCGAGCAAGTAAAAACCGGAAGTTACCCACCATACAAGTATTTGTAGATGGAGTAGAGTGCACAGCTCTAGTGGATTCAGGATGCTCACAGACGCTGGTGAGCAAGACTGTGTGTCGCTGCTGGAGGCAGGAAGAGGTGGGAGTGTTGACTGCCGACGGGAAGACCCTGAAGTGCCGTGGATACGGTAAAAATTAAGTTGGGCGTCGAGCATATTCAGCCCGTGACTGTTGAGGTTCTGGTCGTGGAAGGGCAGTTGCTAGGATTCGATCTTCTTCTCGGGATTGATGCAATCAAAGTGCTCGGAGGTGTTTACTTGACCGAATCAGGCGAAGCTCGTTTGGAAACCTGAACACATGTGCCGCCATTGTTATCAACAAGCCTGACTTTAGAGTGACGTTTAACCCGAGCACAAAAACGTGGACTGCATTGTGGAAGTGGGCGAGTGGTTATTCACCTAGCAAGTTGGTCAATAAAGTACAGGAGTACACAGTACCTGGCCACATCCGGGATGCATACGATGAAGAACTAGCACGGTGGCAGCGAGACGGATGGCTACTGCCATATCCTGAGAAAGAGCTTGGCCCCGCAAGGGATTAATTCCCTTAATGGCGGTCGTACAAGAACACAAACAGAAGGTCCGACCGGTACTTGACTATCGGGAGTTGAGCGGCTTTGTAGGCGCATTCACGGCTGGCGCAGAGGTGTGTGCGCAGAAATTACGAGAATGGCGGCGACAAGGAGCTGACGTATCGCTGTTGGATTTGAAAATGCGTACCTACAGATTCACATTGACAAATCGCTATGGCCGTTTCAAACAGTGGTCATTAAGGGCAAGCGGTTTTGCCTTACGCGTTTGGGTTTTGGCCTGAATGTGGCACCACTTGTCATGAAGTCAGTGATCGACATGATAACGTCCCAGGATCAGGACATTAAGAGTGCCCACGTCGGCATCGTCGACGATATCTTCATAAATGAAGGCCTAGTTTCTGCAGCGCGCGTAAGACAGCACTTTGCAGATTACGGGCTAGTCTGTAAAGATCGGAGCGATTGAGAGACGGAACTAAGGTCCTGGGTCTGCAAGTCTGGGAAGAAAGCAACTCCCTTCGATGGAAGCGGGGAGGTCAGGTTCAGAAATTGCTCAAAAGTTGACCCTTGAAGCGTATTTTCCTTGTCTTGGGAAACTTGTGGGTCATTTCCTGTGTGCGGTTGGCTTAGGGTGGCAACTGCATTTATTAAGCGTTATGCAAAGTACACTAACCAAAGGATGGGACGACGAGATAAAGGATGCCCCTCTTGGACGTATGCTGGAGGAAACAGTGGCCAGAGTGCGGGAATCAGATCCTGTCGGCGGAGACTGGTGTGTGAACGGCAATGAAATGACAGTTTGGGTGGATGCAAGCTCCGTGGCCACGGGAGTAGCACTAGAGGTGAATGGGAGCGTCGTGGAAGATGCTTGCTGGTTCGTCCAACCAATGATGCCAAACACATTAATCTTGCTGAGCTTGATGCGGTAATCAAGGGCGTGAATCTTGCCCTGCAGTGGCAGGCACCAGTTATGCATGTGGTCACCGATTCAGCATGTGTGCATCGGTGGGTGTCTGACACCCTGACAGGAAGGACGCGTGAACACGAAGGCAGCGGGTGAAATGCTGATGAGGCGGCGCTTAGAGACACTGCGAGCTTTGGTGGAGGATACGCACTGACTATGACTGTGACGTTGGTGAAGTCTTGTCAGAACTGCGCGCTGACAGCCTCACCAGAGTGCCTTAACGCTGGTTGGAGATGCACAAGAAAGGAGGAGAACCGGTGCAAGTGAGTTGTGTCACTGCAACGAGCCAGTTGAGCAAACGTCAGGTGACCCACATCCACCAGCAGAGTGGGCACCCAGGTGTTAAAAGAACAATGTACTTTGCTAGGACTGTAGATCCAACGGTGTCTAAAGAACTGGTGAAATCTGTCGTTAGAACCTGTGAAGCCTGCCAATCGATCGATCCAGCACCAGTGCATTGGAAGAAAGGAAATTTGAGTGTGAGAAAAAACTGGAGCAGGTTAGCAATGGACGTAACCCATTGCAATGGTAGCCATTTTCTTACGCTCATTGACTGTGGTCCCTCCGTTTTGCAGTATGGCGGCCACTGAGGCGGCAAGACTCTGCTGGTGTCATTCGTCAGCTAGAGACGGTCTTCTCTGAACGAGGCCCGCCGACCGAAATACTGACTGACAATGACACCACGTTCACTTGCAGACAATTTAGGGAATTTGTGAACAGCTGGGGCGTGCATTTGAGGTTCGGTGCGCTTACGTGCCGTCTGGAAATGGCATTGTGGAGCGCAACCACAGAAAGCGTCAAAACCATAGCAGCCAGAAAAAATTGTTCAGTCTTGGAAGCGGTTTACTGGCATAACGTCACACCTAAGGACAACCTTTCACCTTCCACGGCACCGGCTGATGTACTGCACATACCACGTCCGGGTGAGAGGCATCGACGCGACGCCCCCGCCTGAATCACAAATAACCGAAGGGAATACAAGGAAGGGGACATTGTCTGGGTTAAGACTCCGTGGTAAATGCACGACCAAATTTGGAACCGGACGTGTGACCGAGGTGGTGAGTCAGCAGTCAGTGCGGGTCGATGGAACACCTCGTCATGTTAGAGACCTGCGCCATTTTTGGGCTCAAATCCCACAACTGACGAAGAAGACACGGAGGATAGTGAACAGCCAATATACATAGAGTTGGATTCAACAACCAATCACTCCGATAGTGGTAGTTTGCCAATAGATCGGGACGTGTCTAATGAGAGCTCCTCTGATGAAGAAGTTCAACCAATCCCCCTTCGGAGGAGCACCGGAACAAAAGACCGTATCCTCACTGTCATCTGTGTGATCAGGAGATCAGGGGAGTGTGGCGGACATGAGACAGAACCTGGGGCGAGCACAACTAGTCGCGACTTGCCTTGTCCCCGCCAAAAAAAGGGCCCGTATTTGCTTAGCATGTAAAGCTACTGCAGTTGAAATGAGGGAGAGAAAAAAAAAGCACTTACCGCTCTGCCGTAATCCATCCTCGGCCAGATAACATAAAAAAGAATGAGGGGGACTGGCATCACATTTTTTTAACGATGCAATGCATTATGGGACATGGACGCAATGCATTATGGGACATGGACGCAATGAATTATGGGATCACAGGAAGATGCAAGGGATTATGGGTCCATGAACAACTATAAAAAACAACTACTTTTTTCCAAGTCGGCGAGTTCTTTGAGGGGCGTTCACGGTTAACTTGGCTAGAACGGGCAGTTAGTGTGATTTGGAGACAGAACTCAGAAGGAACGACTCAAGTTTGAAATACCAGCTGAGTGAGCTTGAATTTACTCGCTGGTTACTGTTTTCTTCATTCGCCTCAAGGTTATAATGCCAGCCACGGACATTAAAATAATTTCTAAACAGTGGACATCTATCCATGAAGATATGGAGAAACTGAGTATGGTGTGGAGATGGAGAAGCAGCTTGCAGGAGATAGAGGCTATTATATGCAAGAAGGTATGAGCTATTTACATTGATTTGCTTCAGCAGACCCCAGGCACTTCAAAGGACAAGGTATCAGGCAAGCTGTTTAAAGCCAGTCAGGGCTAGTTCAAGAATTTTAAAAAGAGGATCAGCATTCACTCTGTTGTCAGACATAGGCAGTGAGTGCAGATATAAAGGCAGCTGAGTATTACCTTAAAACTTTTGCCGAAATTATAGCAGCCAAAGGATACATACCCCAGCAAGTCTTCAACTGTGACAAGACAGGACGTTTTAGGAAGAAAATGCCAAAGAAGAAAAGAGGATGCCAGGCCACAAACCCCTGAAGGATAGGCTCACCCCTTTGCACTTTGTGCCAAATGCCAACAGTGACTGCAAAATTAAATCACTGCTCCTTTATTATTCAGAAAGCTCCACAGCCTTTAAATCATTTAAGATTCTGAAAAAAAACTGCAGGTTATGTGGAGAGCAAACCTGAAGGCATGGGTCACCAGGCAGTTCTTTGTGGAGTGGGTGAATTTGGTATTTGGTCCTGACGTTAAGAAATATCTCAAAGAAAATAATCTATCCTTGCAAGCCTTTCTTGCTCTGGACAATGCACCTGCTCAACCTCAAAGATGACTTCCTCGAAAAGTTCAAGTTTACCTTCCACCCAACACCACTCGTATCCTGCAACCCATGGACCAGCAAATGATTTCTAATTTCAAGAATTTCACTAAGCACCTGTTCCATTGCTACTTTGATGTGTTGTAGAGCACAAATCTTACCCTTCATGATTTCTGGAAGGACAACTATAACATCATGATATGCCTCAGAATTATTGGTATGGCCTGGCAGAGTGTTACAAAGAGGACCTTGACCTCTGTGTGGAAGAAGCTGTTGCTTGAGGTTGAGTCTGAAACACTTTGAAAGACTCGAACCTGAAGCAGCAGTGGTGGAGGAGATTGTATCTCTTGGCAATTCCATAGGCCTGGACATGGATGAAGGTGACATCAACAAGCTGATTGAGCAACATTTTGAGAAACTGACAATAAAGAAGCTACAGATACAGCAACACATGGAGGTTTTGCAACAAATAGGTGACATGGGGTAAGCAGGGTGGGGGGTTTATCGCTACAAGCAAGATAAAAGAAATGTTGGAAATGTGGGAGAAACTTTCAGGCTTTATTCAAAAGAAACACCCAGAAAAAGTTGCATTTGAGCGTGCGACGACGATATTTAATGACACTTGCCTTATTTCAGAAACATTCTGAAAGGGAGGATGAAACTGACCTCTTTGGAGAGGTTTTTTATCGAAAACACCGCTGCAGATGAAAGTGAGGAAAGCATGGTAAAACTGGGCAAAAATCAGCAAATAAGATTCAGTTATTAAGTTCAGCCTTTCTCCTTTACTTCCGTCAGCATCTTCATCTGATCTCCAAGGTAAATGCTGTACATTATACTTAATAAAATCAGTTTATTGCAGTACATTCTATTGAATTGTGTTTTTATACAGTATTTCCTATTTATATATACATTTTTCTTATTAAAAAACACATAACAAAAAATTTGCAGTGTTTTTTGGGATCTAGAACAGATTAGTGGCATTTCAACGGGGAAAATTGATTTGACATGAGTAATTTGAGTTATGAGCTCCATCATGGAACAAATTAAACTTGTAAGTCAAGGCATCACTATATATATCCCTAAGTTTCTTTTTTCATTTAACAGATTGTTCTTTCTTTCTCCAAAGTTTTATGTTTTTAAGTTATCAGAAGTTGATAATATGTTAATGTAACCATAAAAATAATTGCAATATACTTTACATTGTAGGTGATTAACTAAAAGGTAAAAAGAAAAGGCTTAGACTCACCACATGTGTAGACTACTTCCAAGTACTTTTGGGAATTCTGTGGGCAGAGCTCCCCAAATAAACTGCTTGCAACATTAGCAATACAGTGTTTACGTCCCTGACATCCCTTCACGGCCTGTTCAGCAACCTGGGGAGTTTTGCAATCTGCAATTATGATTATTGATGTAAAATTTATCAGGACATGAAAAGAAAGAAAATAAATACTGGAGAAAAGAATGATAAAAGAGAATTTTATTTTTAATTGAGAAATTAACAATAAAGTAAAAAAGCTGACTAAAACCAAAAATAGATTCCTCTAATGTTTTGTCAAATTTATTTATATATATTTATTCTCAGATGGAGTATATCTGTAGAAGAGACAAAATGAATGAAAAGACAAGAGGCAAACTATACATAGTTTTTAGCCAATGTGTTTTGTTATTTTGCAACAAGTATATATTTGACAGTTACTCAAAATTTAAAAAAATCTCAGAACACTCATCAGCTTAAAACTGAAAGGTTTAAGTGTTAGAACCTAGATTGTCATATAGCATTTTCAAAAGGAAATTTTTTAATTTTAAGTTGCTCATAAATATATAGCAGGTTAACTGAAATGTATAGGCAATTTAGACCTTAGATTACATCATTTACTATACTCAAAAAAGAAAAAAAATTTTTTTCGTATTATACCTCTCTAAAAGTTGAAATGATGGATACAGCTGTTTTCTTTTGATTTTTCAACATATTTGTTGTGTATGTTGGCTTGTAAAATAGTAATTCCTTCAGGAAAGATGAGATTGGAAAAAAATTGAAGTATAGATTGATATATTGATAATATCCAATGATGGAACTCTTAAGGATATTCCGTCTGAGTAAATTACTTTCTCTTTTGATGAGTGTGGCATTTTGTAGATGAAAATTGTGCTCAAATTTATTTCTGTGTATGACTAGTGCATTTGTTAAATTGTTTATAAAGTCTCTTTTGTGTTCATAGACATGTTTTTTTAAATTTCTGCTTGTTTCCTCAATGTATTGTGAAGAACAGTTTAAGCTGTTTATTTTATATATGCCTGTTTCTGAACTAATATTGATTTGGGTGTATTTAGATTTGATTATATCCATGATGGTTTTGGAAGTGGTTGTGACTATTTGGATGTTGTTTAGATGGGATAAGGTATTTTGGATAGTGGAGATTTGGTATGTACTTATGTATCTGTTTTTTCATTTGCCTTGATAAAGACTGTCAAATGACGAAACATGTTGGCTAAAAACTAAGTATAGTTTTCCTCTTGTCTTTTCATTCATATATATATATATTATTGAAAAGCTTTCTTCCTAAGGTATGAATATATGACCAAACATTTGGTTTCTGTGGAAAATGCCTTCTTGGTCTAGCTAAGAATATTTTAGCTCTGACTCGTGTTATATATTTGGGGGAGGAGTACATGGTAGATATTCCCACAAAATAACTAAATAAAAAATAACAAATGGAAAGTATCCTTAAAATATAAAAAAATTGGTCTTATTGACATTTTGCTTGGGTTTCCTGATTTCCTGAAGAGAAATCAATTTTTATGTGTTTCTCTATAAGGATTGGTGGCTTTGGTAGAAATCAATAAAAAATTACCTTTTTCTTGTAACAAAGAAGATAATTGGTATAGTTCGAAGTTCTGTTTGTTAAAAATGGTTATATTCAAAAAATACACTATTAATATTTCTTAACACTTGGTATGTTTTGAACATTATTCAATTATTTTTGTTCTAAATGCATTAACATTTTAATGGAATTTTATTTGATTAATGTTTTTTTTATATATATAATTATATTTTAATATATTTACTACTTGTCTGGATAAATTTCTGTCTCAATTTCAAAGCTGTGAGTAGTGATCCAATTAAATTCTGAGATTTTGAGAAAAAGTAGAAACTACTAAGAACACTATTTAGTAAGCATACTAAGATGTTTGAAATTCCAGAGAGATGTTATATAATAAATATATAAACATCAGATTATTAATTATGCTTAAACCTAACAGTTATTCCTTTTGTTTACAGAGAGATGGCTGGAAAGACTTAATATAAATTGACTTTAAAATTTTAAGGTGAAAACCAGAATGAGCCTTCCTCAGTACTTGTTTATAGGATCTGGCACATTGCTAGTTGTTTAACAAATGCTCAGCTACTGCTGACCCTGAATTAATATGCCTATACACATTATTCAAATTGCTTTTTCAAATATATAGCTGGTATGTGCTGATTAATCCTTGCACCTAACCTCTGACCTTACATAGTGGCTCTATTATGCTGAATTGCCTGCTTTTATTCAACAGAGATTAAATTCTCAGTCTTCAGTGCAGTTGTCCATCCTGGGTATGACAATAAACTACATCCGCGTCCTGTGTAAGACGATAAACTATATCAAACAGCAAAGTCTCTGATCAGGTTTTGAGGAGTATGGAACCACCTCTTAATTGCTGGCATTCCCAGGTCCACCCTGATCTGGGGTGGTAGCACCTGTTAGGGTCCCAGCTATGGGCAAATAGTTGACACCCAAACTTATGTAAAAATAGGTTTTAATACCAGAAATACTTTGTAATACAAGCAATAATTTTTGAAGGAAAAAATTATCAGCAATATTTAAAAAAAAAAAAAAGTACCAGTAATACAAACAGCTATACATTCTTTGAAAAAAATATTACCAACTACAGATTTCTTCAAGGAAAAATATTCCCAGAAATAGATTTTTGAAAAAAAAAATTACCAGCAATAAAAATTTTGTTGGCATTAAATAACCCATTGAGGTTGATATGGTTGATAAAACAAATCAAACCAAACCAAATCAGTACAGTTGTTACTGTGCTTTTGTTACAATACATTGCCAGAAAATCTATTTCTTACTCTGCCTGAGTAAGGCTTAGTGCCAAACTTTATATCAGCTAATAAATATCTAATATTACAAACTTCTTATCATATTGCTGTGGTCTGTGTGTATATCTTGAAATATATTATTATTTTGTCCTCAACTAGTCACCACATAAATCAGATTTGGTCCAACTGAAGTATTAACAAAATAAATGAAAAAAAATTATATAAATGTTTTACTCACTGAAAAGTGTATCTGGTTTAATCTTGGGGCACATAGTTTTATTCCAAGGGAAATGCCTCAACATTGCAGAATAGACAACTATTCGGTTTGATCGTCGACATTTAAGACTCAGATTCTCATTTTCACAAGCAAGTTTCTTGTGAAATTCCGCTAAAAAACAGAAAACAATTGTTAATTTATCATTTTTCTTTGTTGGCTGCTTTCATTAAACAGAAAAATGAAAAAATAAACTAATATGCAGAGACCTAATTCATTGTACCAAGTAACTACCATAAAATTTACAAATTAGGAAAAATAATTAACCATAATACTCTTATAGTAAGAAGGATTTGATATTGTTTTGATAAGAAAATTACTTTATAGATTTGAAATCATACTTTACTAAATTAACTTGTTTGAAAGATACCAAGGCACTCAGTTTGATAGGACTTGTCTGAATTTTGTTAGACAATTTGATTAAATTATTGTATGTGATTGGTTCAGATTATTTTTTTAGCTTTATTTTATTTTTTCTACGTTTCAGCTATCCAATCATGCTGGGTGTCTGTTTCTGGAATTTCATTGATTCTTGAGGGAACATGCACACTTTCTCTCTCTCCTATATGTGATGGCTGGTATTTGTGCCTTCTTAGTATTGTCATCTCCTGGCCTCTCTACATTGAACCTGTGATCTTCAAATTTGATCCTCAGATCAAGAATATGTGTGAGCCATTAAGTAAGAGAGAACAATCAATAAACTTGAGAATTCAGAAACAGGGCTCGAGAGATGAGAGAAGCAACAAAATTGAAGAGGTCAAAGGCTCAATGCCTGGAAAACATTCTGAAGAATACATAGATGCAGCACTACAAGGCATGATGTATATGAGAAGGGAAAGAAATGTTCTCACAGAAGAAGATTCAAAACCATCACAGGCACTCAAGGAAGGTTGAAATATTGAAGAAAAAAAAAAAAGAAAGAAAAGGAAATGGGTTTCAACCAATGATATATATTGGCAGCAAAGATTTAATTATTCATTTTTGATGATAATCATTTGAGTAACAAAGCTGTTCAACTGATCTGTTTTGGATGCCATCAAATAAATAATTTCAGCCAAAACTTAAATGGCTCTATAGATGTATAGCTTTTAATGTGTTGACCTCTGAAATAGTTTGTTACAGATCAACTAACATTAATCTGATACAAATAGAGACATGGGATTAGTGAATTTATGGGGGTCATATCACAAGACTAATTGTTAAAAATTATTTCTAAAACATGATGTCAACTACTAGAAATTTAGTGATGAAAAAAAAAAAACATGAAAAGAAAATGAAAAATGATAATAAGAAAATGAAAAATAGATGAAAAATGAAAAGCAAATAAGAACAATGGAAAAACAATTGAAATGCAGATGAAATAAATGCATTTATATTTATTATGGATCCTTTGAATTGTATGGATGAAAAACAAATCCACATTTTGATTAATGATATTTATGATAAAGTCTCGAAAAGAAAATGATTGAAGACATTGATTGTTGATATTTCTCTTTACAATCCTTAATTTTGTTTTTTGCTTTTTAATCTGATTCAGAATCTCAGGATCATTTTGATCAGGAAAAAGTTTTACATGGCAATTTCATGTGCTTAAGTAAAATTCTTGAATGAAACTAATCAGCAGAGATTATAAATGGATCAATCCAAAGAAACTAGGAAACGTGGACCAAATCATTAATCTCTTTTATTATTGTTTACAAAAACTGGAGCTAAAAAGCATTGTTCTATGTTCCTTTGTAAGTCAGAAAAGAAAAATTTTCAATTTTCTTTTTTCTTCTTTGTTGCCTTACAGCTTCTCTTATCATTTGGTTGTCTGGAAAGTTCAGGCTGATTTTGAAGAGAAATTAAAACACAAAACAAAATTATGCCATTAAATATTTATTCAGCCAAATATGAACCATTTTGTTGCACACCATTTCTCCATTTTTCCTTCAACTTAAAGATTTCATCTTGCTAAAATTTCAGTGGTTTCTTGGCAAAAAACTCATTAAGGTGGTTCTTTATCTCACTCAAAGAATTAAAATTTTTACCGTTGATATTATTTTGCAAGGACCTGAATAAATGGAAATCTGAAAGAGCAAATCTAGTGAATATGGTGCGTGGTGTAACGTATCTCAGCCAGACTGCAACAATTTTGGCCGGGTTGCCAAAGAAACATAAGAATCCTGATGGAAAACAACACCTTTCCTGTTTGCCAATTCTGGGCATTTTTCTTGAATTGCCGCCTTTAATTCATTCAGGTGCAAGCAGTACTTTTCAGAATCAATTGACTTGTGACTTGGCAGAAGCTCATAGTACAGGATTCCTTTCCAATCCCACCAGATACACAGCATGATTTTTTTTGGATGATGATCTGCTTTTGAGATGGCTAAAGTTGGTTCATGTTGCTTATCCCAGGATCTTTTTCACTGAACATTGTTGTAAATGATCCATTTCTCAAAACTTTAAAAAAAAAGTGTATTTTCATTGTGTTTATACAGCAAATCACAGCAATCCAAGAGATTCTGAATCAATGTCTTGATTTGGTCATCATCTGTAGTGGGGGTCTGCCTGAGTGTTCTTCATCAATAAGATTACAATCAGTACCTTCACCATACACAGCACATATCTTTTTGTTGCTTGCATCAAGTGTCTAAAATTCACCTTATAATCTTTAATTTTCATAGGAATGCAAAATTGACATGAAATTAATTGAAATTAAGTAATTTTAAACTTTCTTTCTCAAGAATAGTTTGAAGTGTGCTCTAATTGGAAATGTAAGCATATTATATCTGTTGATAAATTTAATGTGTTCTAATAATTGACATGAACTTTTCTGACAACTTAATATATTTTTTGCATTGTATCTCGGTATGAAATGCACATATACACAGTTCATTATCTTTTTGTTTAGGATAAACAATATATCTCTATTATATTATGAACTGTTGCCTATATTCCTTATCAATGGGTCAGGTCTGCATCACTCTTATAAAAGCCCAGTCTCTTATTTTAACTTCTCTACTTATTATTTCCCACTGGGGAATTTTTTTTTCAATATATGCACATAGAGACATTCCAAAGTTTTATAAGATTCCAATTTTTCCCAAATTACTTTTCTTTTTGATTTTGAATTTTGCTTGAAAGGAATTTTGGAAAAAATACTCCAGAAGCCATTTTTGATTTGTTTGATAATAATAGTAATTTAGGCAATATTGAAATTTTTGAAGGCTTTTCTTTAATAGTTATTGATCTCCAAGAGCAGCCAGTACAGAAATCAATATTAGTGTGGTGCTCTTTCATTGTCACTATTAGTGTATTAGAAATATAATACAAAATAAATCTGGTACTACAAAATATTCTTGATGCAATATTTGCATCAAGAATATCACATTGTACTAAGAGGCAACAAGATATTAAAAAAAAAAAAAAACAGACTCTAAAAACTGATTTGAAATCATTTATTTATAGTTTTCATTAATGTAGATTTCTGTCAAAAAACAGAAAGTTAAGAAAAATAAAGAACACATTAAATTTAGATTTACTCTATTAAGTAATAAAATGAATTTGAAATCCTATTTTTGTTTGTTGTATTTTCATTGTTCCCACATAGAAAATTAAAGGCTTTATATTATAGAAACATGTCATATTGGATATCGACTAGATGATTTGAAAATAGAAAGGTTAAGATAATAAATCTGACAAACAATTCTTTGAAAAATTTTTCTTTTAAATATTTCCATTCTTCAATTTAATTTACTAATTTTCTTTTTTTATATTCTCTTCAAAATTAAATTTGCCATCAAAACCAAATTAGAAAACATTAAATTCTTATTAAACACTATCACATGGCTTAAGATTTCTTTTTTTCTCAGTAATCTCCATATTATAAATTTTAAAAGTGAAAAAAAAAATATTAGTCCAAGTAAAAAACAAATGTGACCTTATTTTTGTCTCTGAATGTATTGTCAGTTTTGTAAATTTTGTTCATTATTGGCTTGAGGTAAAAATTGGATTTTTTTTTTACTCATTTCAGGTTTTGCTCTAAGAACAAAGTGCAACCAAGAAACAAATGCTCTTTAAAATTTTCCAAACCCTTTATTTTGCACTGATTTACAAATTTTAATATTGGCTTTGTTTTCAGTTGTTTCCTTTAGTTGCAGTTTTTTTTTCTATTAATATTGAAATCTTCTTTGGAAAAAAGGAAAGAAAAATCTGAATCTTGTTATTGCTTCTCTGTTATCAAGTTTATTTGATTATTGACAGATTTTCATATGTGATTTGGTACCAGAGGAAAAAAATGGAACTCTTCACTTCTGAAATCTGAAATGAATACAACAAAAATAAAAAAGAAGCTATCATTTGTTTGTTTTTTTTTTCTTTTCAAAAGCAGAAATGAATTAGAAACTTGGAAATAAGCAAATAACCAATCTATGACTAACTTAAGCCGATGATTGACAATTATCTTACAATGATTGATGAAATTTTATAAGAGCGGGGGGTTGGTGGGGGTAGAAAAAAGATCATTTGAATGTGCTGGAGTGGGGGTAGAAAGGAAATAAAATCCATAAAAAAAAAGAAAGGAATCATTGTGACCATGAACTCATTATGACTTATTACAAGTCAAAATGCCTTTGATAAAAGTGATTTCAGGATTTTTTATTTTTCAGAGTAAGCTTTGAAGTCATACAAAAATGTTTAAATAATAATATTTCTTTGTATAGCTTAATATATGAATGTCTAAGTTTTCAAATAAAATGTAGATTAAATAAAATGTAGTATAAAACAAAATGGATGCCAACCAAATAAATAATTCTGGGAAAATAGAAACAAAGGGTAAGAAGCAGAGAAAGACAAAAGAACATTTCTTGGCTTGTTTTTGTATTATGATTTTGAATATGGAACCCTTGAAGAAATTGCACTTAACTATAATTAACCTGTTTTTACTTAATTATTAAGTCTTTGCCTCTCTTATCATAAAAAGCAACAATAAAATGAAGAAAGAAAAGAGTAAAAAATGAATAAATAATACTTTAACTAATTATTACTACTACTACTAAATTTAAATATCAGGAAATATATATAAAGTTCATAAATATTGACTCATTTGCCAAGTCTCTTGCTCGGAAAATTGG